TCCCCTTCAGACAACTCATTTGCACAAGCAAGAGTGAAGTCCGCACCAGCTCTCTCTAGTGTGAGCCATTATGTCCATTGGAAACCTTCATGCTTCCTTTTACTTTATTTCTTTTGCATACCAAACTCCAGGAGAATAGGCCAGCCACGGTGCAGCACCAGGAACGCCTTTGCTCCTGCAGTCAGAACATCTCTCATTCTTAGATTCCCAGGCAAGAGTCTTAATGCATTCCCCCTCCTCTCTCCTAGACTGTAGAGGACACATTTCTAGCTTTCTGAGTAGTGCCCCTCAAGCCCTTCTCTCCTGACCTGAGGGAAAGTGGAGTCGACCCCCTGTTTACCGCCCCCTGCCCCAGTCCTTCCTCCTAGAAGAGATATGAAGAATCGGTACTTAGCATCAATTCCAATATCTCTTCTTGTATGCTGTCCTGGACTACTGTGAAGGAGGAAGAAACTTCCCTCTACCCTGCAAGGTTCTTTCGGCTGATCTAATAAGTAAACCTACACGAGACAGATTAACAAGGGAAAATAACCAAATTTAGTTACATATGTACCTATGAGACTGCCACATACATGAGAGGTTCAGGGACAAAAAATTAACATGAGGTACATATGGCATTCTGAGCTAAGGATGAGATGAAGTGCCTCGGGGCTTCAGAGGGGAGGAGGGAGGTCATTGCAGAACGATAAGGAGAGCAGATGTTCAGTAATTAAGATATTTTTAGACAGGCCATAAAAGTTATTTCTGGTGATAACTCTTTTTATGGGCAAGTACCCTAATTTAAATTCTTCTGGGTAGTTAAGCAGTGGGAGCAGGAGCAGAAGTTTCTTTTGAGCCTGAAGGGTTTTGGTTACCTTTAACTCAAAATAATCCACATGCCACAGAGGCACATCTTGGGATGACTTGTTCTGAACCCCTATACTACAGAATTAAAAATCATCACTTTTAGATTCTCTTGCAGTTAGGATTTTGGATGCAAATTAGGTTCTGCCAATTGATGGCACTTGAACAAGATTTGAAAAGCAGAATGGAGAAAGATTTCCTCACTACATGCAAGGCCATGCAGATGGAGATGGTAGTTTTCTGCATCCATGGTCCGGTGTCTAACCATTATCTTCATGGACATTAAGAAACAGTTGCATCAGTGATGGCAGAGGCTGTCCTTGGCTCACAGTTCCGGTGGTCCAGTCTTGACACCAACAGTGCTAGAGCTCCAGTGGTGGCTCCCGACTCCTCACCTCTGGGTGGTAGCCAGAGCAGCAGCTCCCCTGGGGGCCCATTCTGTGGTCTTGTTCCAAAAGTCATTCCTGTAGGCTCACCCTCAAATCTACCCCTCCAGCCCTTCTAAAACTTTCTAACACCACATTCCTTGAAATAAATTTCATTCTGGTTAAAATACTTAAAGTAGTTTCTGTTTCCTGCAACTAATCCCTGCCTGATACACTTCCCCTTAGGGAACAGAGTGGGCAATGAAATCCACTGGCACATCAACAACTAGGCTGAAACTTTCATTCTAATCTCCTCGTATAAACTCCCCAAGGGCTAGCCTTTGCAAAGCACTTCTCCAGAGAGATAATATCTTCATTTGTAGATTTTTACATACTCAAAAATATTATTTTACATATCTGGTATTTCATTTATTTGATGAGTGACAGTGTCAATGTTCCCAACCTCAAAGCATCAACCAAATTCTTTGACTCTTATTTGGCCTCAGGAGCAGGCAAAGAGGTAGACAAATGTCAGGAGTCTGAGAGAAGCAACTTCTATTCTAGATACTCACTCTACCAACTGACATTGCACCCAAGGAGGCTAGTTCTTTGCCATGGGTTGTTTTTCCTGACAAAATGCAGATAGCCCAGTCCTCACAACAGGTGAACTTATGATCCAGAAGTGCCTTATTCAAGCTCACCGTAACCTGTCCTCAGACCAAGTTTTGATGAGAAGGAAGCAGAGAGAACATGAGGACATGACCAGCAGTATAAAGGATGAGTGTGTGGGCTGGGGAAGGGTCTCTCTTCCTCCTTTTCCCCAAAACACCCCATATAAAGTAAGAGAAATATGATTTGAAGTGAATAATTAACTTAATCTATTATATAGAATATAAATAAAAACATCTTTTGAAAACTGCTATTTGACTTGTTTTATAACATACTCTAAGCAAAAAACAGTTTGCTTGCTCTATAGATGCAACTTCCAGATTAGGCCTCTAGCCTCTCTTTCTACTCAAATCACTACCCCTGAGCCTCTCCACTACAGGAACTCTGGAGCTGCCACTGTGACTTGGCCTTAGAGAGCAGAGGATGCCCTCCAAGGTGGAAGAAAGCTGAGGATGGGAATCTGGGGACCCAGACAAGCTCCTTTGCAGTTTTGCATGGAGGCAATATACATCATTTCTGGAAACTTCACATTGGCATGTTTAACCCTCAAAATAACTACATGAAATGTGACTCCCCCCCTAACGCTTGCATCATGCTTTTTTATTCCAATCTGAGTCATGGCAATGTTCTTTGAGTCATCTGCCAGGACTCAATCAAAGTTTCACAATGTCCTTCCTATGTGAATACTTTCTGGCTTCTCCCTTACATTTTATTTTGGCAAAAGAATATCCTTTTGAAAAAATGGGTCCAGGATCTGCTGCATTCCAAAGATCTCCATACAGTTCCTCAGTCTCTCCTGTGGCCTCTCTCTGCTCTGTGGGGGTGGGGTTGGATGTCTGCAAGGTCACCAACTCCCTCTGTCCTTCCTTCTTCCCTTGCCTCTGTGTCACTTTCCTGCCTCCTTCCTTGCATTATTTTCTCCACTAAAAGCTCCTCCCCCACCTCCCTAGTGCCCCTCTAATCCCCAGGGGATAGCGGCATTTACTAAATCCCAGGCCGAGAAGCAGGCAGATGGCTCAGTGTCCTACAACTTTGGACAAGTTCCTTAATATCTCTTAATGTCTCAGTGGTCTGTAAATTCACGTAGTTCTCAGTTCATATCCATAATTTGTTTAACATCATTTGGACAAAAATTCTACCATAGCATAGGTCCATTCTACCCTTACATAGAAAGAATCCTTCTATTATACAGAAAATTTTATTTATTTATATATATTTATTTAAGTATGGTTGACATACAATATGATATTAGTTTCAGGTGTGAAACATTTATACACCTTTTGAAGTGATCGCCACAATAAGTCTAGTAACCCTCTGTCAAAATACAAAGTTATTATGCCATTGTTGACTATATTCCCTGTGCTGTACATTGTTCCCCATGACTTGTTTATTTTATAACTGAAAGTTTGTACCTCTTGTTCCCCTTCACCTTTTTTGCCTACCCTCCCCATAAAAATTTTCTTATTGAAAGTAGCTTTCTAAATGTCCACCAATAAGACACTAGTAAAATAATGGTGCATTCATTAAAAAAGC